CATGTGAGCAAATTACTCGAAGAGGGGAAGGTCAAGAGTACTCGGATACCTAGACGTGCATGTATGAAGAAGATAATGAACCTGAAAGAAGCGAAAGAGGTATGTAAGGATCGTGACACTTGACGATCTGTTCTCTCTGGCTACCCCGTTAGGGATTGTGCGTGAAGATAAGTAAGTAAGTAAGTTTTTGTAATAAAGGTTAATATAACCTTAATCATCTGTGCAATGTATATGTGTGTGTGGTGTGGTAAATATGTTTGAAATTTAATAAATATATTTAGAGCCTAGGTCTGGCCTGGCCAGGCTTATTATTTCCCCAATTGATGGAAAAGAAACAATTAAAATTGCAATGAAGTACGTCATTGATGCCACTAGCCTTTCATAAGTCATCAGTCAGCTGTCGCGCGCAATTGGAAGCGGACGGCCTATATCTTAGCAAAAATGGCCTCGGATATTGTAAAATGCGTAAGCTGTAATATAGTGATCAACGATCTACTAGCACTTATTCATAAGAAGGCGGATGTAATGGACGAGGTTTCCCTTACTAGGTTATGCTGTGTGCAAGTAGTGGCTGCAAAAAAGCTGTTATTTAATTCCGTCCCGGAATCGAAGCACAAAACTCGCAAAAATAATGGTAAAAATGCTCGGGACATTGATGATATTATATCTCTCTTTAAAACTACCGATCCTCAACTAACCTATCTTTGTTGATCTTGATCTTCGAAAATTGCAACCAATCACGTTTGTCTGTCAAAAGATATTATGCTAAATCTGATGTAAAAGCTTTAAAAACTGATAGCGCTACGCTGAGGCAGCTGTTGGACCTAAAAACGGAGATAATTAATCTGAAAAAAACATCAATCATTCAGCAAAGTTTGATTTTGTTAAAAAAAAAGAGGTAATTTCACAGCAGATTTAGAAAAATATGATAGTGGGCCAATGGCGCTGCAAAATTATTCTGAGGAGATCCCAAGTAACGACAAGTCACCTACATCTTTAACATCACAAAATAATGTTAACAAATTTTCCCACATATGTAGGCATGCAAAAAAATATAATTAAACGGTATATGTCCACTACTATTTGTTCAAATAGTACGAACTCGAATGTAAACAAAGAGCTCTCATCAAATTGCCAGTCTAATGAGCGGATAATGTCGAATAGTATGGAAGTTGGAACGTAAACAAATAGTAGAGGAAAATTGGACATTTATAATACGAAACGAAAAAAATCTGCGCCCGGTAGAAGAATGAGAAAAGCCGACGTTGGACCTGATGGAAAAATTTAAGGCAGCAATAATCAAAATTCCTTTGTTCAATTCTTTGTGACATTATAGCATATAATAAAAATAAAACGCAAAAAGAAACTTATTTATTTAAAAGTAATAGATAAATTGAAAAGAAATATAATTCTTTCATGCGTCCAAGTCAAAACTAGATGTTTTTCTCAACGATAAGTTCTGGCCTGATGGTATAATTTTTAGGTGGTTTACGAATGATGACTTTAAGTTAAGAAATAGCGATAATAGCATAATGAAGCAAACTATTACATAAGAATAGATAAACATAATTATAAGACAACTAAATTAGCCAGTTTTAATAGTAAATCTGTGAAACGCTCAATTGATGCAGTTAAGTTTCTGTATCAAAAAATCGATATAGTTGCTCTTCAGGAAACGAGGTTGCTTCCCTATGATATCACATACCAAGATACACGAAAATTTTGAGTATACAGGAAAGGGAAGACCGTATGGTGGTGTGACGATTTTGTGGCTCTTGAGTCAGTCACAATAATAAACTGTGATAGTGTGCGGCTAGCAGCAATAAAAGTATCCCTCGGTGACATATACTTTTTAGTGTTTTTAGTGTTATGTGTATATATGCCGACAGGCGTAAGTGATAACATAATTTACCGAATGTCTTAGTGATGTAAGCGCGATAGTCGAAAGTTGTGATGTGGGGCACAGTTTACGTCCTTGGTGATTTTAATGCTCATCCTAGTGTCTTTTGAACTTGAACTTTTCAAATTCTGTTCTGAACAAAATTGGGTTTGTGTGGACATTGAAAAGTTAGGTTCTGATAACTATACATTTGTGAGTAATGAACATGGCTGTAGAGACCATTGCATTGTCAGACAAGCTGTTTGGCTCACTATTACTAATATCAGAATACTTTATGATGTATTTTACATCAAAAACCGAATCAAATAGACTCAAAAATCATTAAAATCGGTTCATCCATTTTTGAGTTTTTGCCAGACTAACGGACAGTAATTGATTCTTATATACAGAGACGACGATCCCTTTAAAGTGTAACGGGAAAATTAGAATCATAATTTGTATTTTGGTTTAATCATTGCCCCTTTGTTGTTGAGTGTATGTTAGACACTATTAAACCGAAATTTGAAGTTGCAAAGAAAACATCTAACAAAGTAATATGGTGCGAAAGGGACAGTGATCAGATTGAAGTGTATTATGATATTTGTTATAGCAAATTAATGTGGCTCAAGTTGCCTGAGGAACTTAGCGTATGTTATATAATTCACACTGTAACAATGATCATCATAGGTTAATGCTTGGTGACATGTATAATAATATTGTTTCTATTGTTGCGCGCCTAAGTTGATGTCTGGTACCTGGCACTAGCGCCATCTAGTGTCGGGGAACAGAGCGAGGAGGGCTTCCTAGAAAATGCCAATCTTGACATTTCCACCAACAGCGCCATCTAGTATCGAACAGAAGTATTAAGCTTTCTAGAAGGGTCCACTCTCGAACTTTCTGCGCCTGGTCGGTCGGCGCCCGTATTTGCTGGAATATTCTGGATGTTTCGGTGGAAAAAGTTGTATTTAAAGCCACTGCAAGCCGCGATCGGGGCAGTATTGAATTTGGCGAGACAAGCGAAGCTTCGGAGCGAAGTAAAGTGAATCAGTGTGATTAATTATTAGTGTATTTTAAGTTTTAATTGGTGTTCGGTAATAAAAGTGTAAATTTTGGTAATTCAATCGGCAGTTTTTACTGTCACGAACCTCAAGCTCGTAACACTATTTTATCAGAAGTCAGAAGCTAAAATAAGAAATCAGCTAAAATGAAAACAGTTTTCACTGTCGGAAACCGCTAGCAGTGTTCGAGCAGGTCGTAGAAGAGGTGTTTGTAGCGGATTGAAAAAAGTGTTTCGCATTTTTTTTAATTGATAGATATGACGAGCGGCTTACCAGATGCGACGCACCTGTGAATCAATTCATCATCATCACAGTTCTTCACAAGTCCATTGGAAACAGGCCTCGCCCAAGGGACGCCAAGAAGTACGGTTTTGAGTCACCTTAATGCATCGACTTCTTGCATGTCTTACCGAGTCAAGGGAGTGAGGGTGGTGGTGGAGTACCACCACCCTCACTCCCTATATATATACTCCGCTTACGGGTACGAGGCTCATGCCAAAATACTCAAACACTGCTCAATTTCAAGACGCCGTTAAGTTTCGTACTGTCTCTATCATTTTAAGTCAAAGTGACTGACACCACAAGACTTAACGACATCTTAAAATTGAGTAGCGTTTGAGTATTTGGCCATATGTATTCTAATTATTATAAAATTTAATAAATTTCTAACTTGATGACCCATGAGGTACCTTGAAATGTATTAAATTCATTTAATAGGTATTTATTTTGACAAATTAACGCTTAATAGAGGACAGTAGATATGGCTCGTTTCAATTGAAATTTGAAATACTTTTTATGAAATATCAAATGTACTTTTATGGATTGATGCCGATCAGAGTTGTATGAGAATAGCAGTAACATATCAAATTTCTTATAATTAAAGGAATTTGTATATTTTAATTTTTAAGTTAAATAAGAAAATAAAATTTGTGCTATTGAGTAAGTACTTAATTATAGAGTCCTGTGTACTAAGTATGATTTATTCTGTGGTCGTGTGTAGCGTGTCAGGGTAAATACGTGAGATTTTTTTTATTTTATTTATTACGAATTTCATTACATATTCGCCCTGCCGACCTTCCACACTTGCGCCACATTTCAAAATTTAGTAACAGTTATGTTCTCATATTTATACATTAAGTCTGGTATGTGTAATTTTGTTCCTAACTGTGCACTCGAAATGTTATCGTTATCGTTACAGGTTGCAGCCTATTAAAGGCTGTGGTTGAACATAGGCCTCCCCCATATTTTTGCCATAGTTCCCACGCTTGGCAATCATTTCGGCAACCGTAGTTTTTTATTTTTAGTCTTTATTAGAAAGACGCTGCTGCCCATCTCCTGATTTGTTTAACTCTGTCCCCTCTTCTTACTTCTTACTACAACCACGGGATGATATTGGGTAGGTACCATTATGTACTTACCGTGCAGTAGTCGTGGAGAATATCCACTCAAAATATATTCAAATTTTTTAAAATCTGTGCCAAATTTTCCTCACGCGCCTGGAACCGGGGCTACGCTTAATGTATCTTCCAAAGAAGTTTTAAGCATATCTATCATAAAACAAACATACACAAGGCGATGTCGATGCCTTAAGTCAGTACAGTATTTTACCCACAGAATTCGTAATAATAAGACAATAGAAGTCGCATAGACGCATGACCTTGTCGTCGCTATGATGTGTTGACGAACATCATTCACCATTTTGTGATTTAGTTGCGCGGGGAACGTCGTACCTGAATTTATGTTATTATAAATTTATAATGGTGAACTGCAGCACTTGTAAAACCTCATCAAGGACGTGTGATTCAACTAATAAAGGCATAACATTTCATCGATAAGTTGATTAGTTACTGATTATCATTGTTTTAACTAATTTATACTTTACTATGATATTTACCTTATTTAAACCCATTTATTGCTTTTCGTATTGTACAATCACCTTTTTTTACATCAATTTTGTTCTACCGTAATAAGCGACACACGCGGCGTTGACAAACTCGCCAAAGAATGTAATGTGAAACATTAGATGTCATTGCGCATTGCGTATGTTTATAGTACGGTAAGATATGTGGCGCCATCGGTTTTGTAAGTAATCAAGCGCTAATTCATTTCTATTGTCTTATTATTACGATTTCTGTGATTTACCATACCCTATACAGTAGTCGTTAGGTGCCATAGACTTATAAATATTACACCTATTTATTTAGATTTCTGTGTTGATATCGCTATTCGTTACGTTCGAAATTGTTAACGTATAAGATGTATATCTAGAACAAATGTCCCATTAAATCCAACTTCGACCTAGACCTAAAAGTCAAAAGACAACACGACATGTTATTCCATAACTTTTACAAATTGGGACATAAACCTAAGCAGGAAATAGAATTAATAAAGCGTTTTTTTATTGCTCTTGATCAATACCTTAATTACTAAGAAGTTTATTTAGTTGCAAAAATAATGTGGTTAATTACATATATGGGTGCTTATTAAAAATATGTTAGCATCGTAATTATTACAATAACAATAGGTTTCTTATTATAGTCTAAAAATGCGGAAATTTAAATAACAAAACTGGTTCGATGTCACCGTTGTCATCTGGAAAGAATAATTTGTTACAAGAGCTCGATTATCCCGCGCTAACTGAAGGCCAATTTGCTTCTAGGCGGGCGGGGATCATGCGCAGCCAGTCGCTTTGTGTCTCCCGCGACCTGTTCACGAGCGCGCGCGCGACCCATATATCATCACTACGGTGCCGCGATGTGGTGCGCCTGGTACTTCATCCTGTGCTTAGTGCCAGGTGAGACAAAGCCACCATCTGATTACCACGCTTTACCTTAACTAAATATAATATTATAGTTATAAAACCGGCAACTAAAATAGGAGGTAGTATAACAAACGGATATCACCGCTTAGAATAAAAATGGTGTAATATTGCAACGATCTTCAAAACGAAAGAGAGTGATGTTCTAAATATGTGTTTTGTTTTCGCATCACATTTACAAAAACATCCAAAATGTGCCACTTTCTCTGTTAAATTGAGAATCCTTTTTAATTTGAAATCTGATTCAAAAAAAAACATTTCACAATCAATATAAATATGATGTAAGCGTACCTTTTATTAAAAATATGATTTACTATAAAAGTACAGCCTATATTACTGCTACTCGTGTATACAATCAGTTAACACCAGCCCAGCTATCAAACAATGAAATGAAAATATGTTCAAACAAAATTAAAGAAATTGTTAATTGAAAATGTTTTTACAATCTCAATGAGTTTTTAATAAAATTGATGTAAGGTAAATTTTAAATTTATTTTCTTAATTGTTGCATATCCGACATGGGTAAGTAGACTGTTGATCCTAAAACTATGTTTTTGTACTAAGATAATATTGTACACAGTTATGCAATAAATGTATCTTTATCTTTAAATAGGTAGATACTTAAGTTATATTTAGTAGGTAGGTGTGTAGCAATTAAATGAAATATTTTTAATAATACTGCCGCACGAAAACCGAAAAAAAACAAGAAAACACAAAAAAAAGAGGCACCCCAAAAAAAAAAGTGCTTAATAGTTTTACCAGGTTTTACCTAACCATCTAAACTTAAAATATATTCCTTTGCATAAAAATAGTGTATTTTATTATTTTAGTTAAATAGGATTATATTTACCAATCACTGCAGCGATACGACGTGCTTAATCTTTTATCTCTATGTACGTGCCTATAGTATATTTATATATAAATATACATATAATATAACTACGATATATATATATATATATATATATATATATATATATATATATATATATATAAATATATGTATATATATTTATATATAAATATACCTACGAGAAAATGAAAGAAAATGCAACTCTTACATTAAAATATTTTCTTTTGTGTAAAGATTTTCTCAAAATTAAGTGAAAATAAATGAATATCATATAAAAATCTTTAGTTAGGTAGCATTTCAGAAAAGGTAGGTAGGTAGCAATCACAGAATACCAGCGTAAAATAGTAGCTTCTGCTGTGTTTCGTATGGTGAGTGTAGAGAAATCTTTTACTGGAAACGAGGCATTCCATCTCAGTCCTCACGGGTGACAACGCATCTGCATTTTGATTCGTAATCGAGGATAGATGTGTCTATGGGCCACAGCAACCACTACCCATCAGGTGGACTGTGTGCCCATTTGTCACCCCATCCTATGAAAAAAAAATCTTCATTATGTTTGAATCGGTTTTAATATACTTTAGCATGTAAGAATAAGATTGCATATCGCCTTAAGATGCCCTCGGATCATTTTTATATGAGTACCTATCAATTATACAGAGCAGTCTTGTCTCTAGATATTTTCTCACTTTTTAAGTTCAACTTCTAACTTTAGTCCAATAGAAAATAGTAGGTAGGTGGTACAAACGTAAACAATTACGTACGCATGTACTCTACTCTTCTATACGTACAGGTCAGAAAGTGCATAGGTAAACATATAATTCTACTAATCTAAACAAGCCTCTAATCTAGTATCTTTAATCTATATTCTATTCCAATATATCTGTAGAAAATTTGGGTCATAAATAATTTTAATATACTCTGGAGAAAACAAGTTTAAAGGGGTAAAAATAAATGAAAGGGATACTGAAGCCCAAAGTGTATCTGTGTATTCACGAGTGACGCAAAACTGGACGAAAATCCATGAAATCTGATATGGAGATAGTAAATATAGACTGGGTATTGTATATGTATTTAATATTAATGTATACCTAATATCATTTTTACAAATAAAATTTTAAATTATTTTTACAATTATTGTAACGTAGTTAAGAAGTATTTTAACGATCGCCGTGTAACGGCGGCATAAAAATCAATTACTTCATATTTCCATCTCAAAGTTGTCGTAAAACACCAATAGGAGAAATGAAACAAGATCATCAATATACTTGAAATATAAATTAAATTAAATTTAAATTTCTAAGCCAAACCATAGATTTGACAGATAAAAGGTAAATACCTAAGTAATAAAGAACTGCGGTTGCCGGAGACATTTTATGTGGAGGACTGAGTATGTTCAGTGGCGAACTTTGACAGGCTTTAATGAATTAATGAATGATGTAATGTTTAGAAGCTGCCACGATAATACGTGGTAGAGCCATGCTGCAGCTATATTATGGTTGTAGCATGAATGGGTCGGCTCAACCGGGGAAATACAACCCTCTCACAGAATACCAGCGTAAAATAGTAGCTTAAAGGACTCATGCTAGACCGAGTCGGGTCCGAGCCGAGTGTTTGCCGTAGCACGGTCAACTAATATTACATATAAGTTGGGTGGACCATGGAAGGCCATGCTCTTTCAAAAGCCAATTATTAAAATGTCGTAGTTATTGCCATGTGATGACAAATTCCTTCTACTTACACAAACACCCATCGAATTGAAAATCACAGACTACTATTTTAGCAGTACGGTCCCTCGCTTCATTGATTTCGGGAATCGACGCCGTTAAAGTAAGGTGGGTGTACCATGGAAAGCCACTCTAACAAATAAACAGTTATTTTTCGTTTATTTGCTGGGTAAATGAAACTAACAAATATTTAAGTAATACTTAAGCATTTTTGTTATCATCACAATCTTCAGCAACTCTTAAAGGAACCGACTAGAATCACCGACCATTCCCAAACCATAATAGACCTTGTTATGACTGACAGCCCTTTAAAATGCAAAAATATTGATGTGATACATAACCACTGTTTAAGTGACCATGCGTAATTGTAGATTTCGATATCAAAAAAACCCAAGTTAAATAAAGAAGTAAGATTTCAACGAACATTATGTTATATAAATCAAGATAAGTTTACAGAGGACTTAAAACTTATTCCCTGGGAATCTATATATACTCTACATAATGTAGATGAAATGGTTAAAACTTTTAACATGTAAGTATATAATAAAATTATTTGACATAAATGCACCAATTCGTAAGGTTGTTCTCAAAGATAAGCCTAAACCATGGATTACAAACATGGTTAAAATGATGAAACTTCGCGATAAAGCTCTAACGAAAGCTCAGAAAGACAAAAAGGACAGCTCGAAAGATTATTACCGAAATTTAAGAAATCTTGTTACTGCAACAATTGAAAGAGAACGAAAAGCCTATAATAATAATTTTGTAAATAACAATATGAAAAATCCGACTCTACTTTGGAAAAACATAAAAAACAGTACCCAGTTTGATTACATGCACAAATCCATAATTCCTGAACATCTTAATGAACCCAAAAAAATCATCGACCACTTTTTGAATTTACCAGTTAGTAACGAAACAGTTGTTCAAAAAAATTTCACTACTTTAATTGATACACCAGAGCTTGACATTCTGGTCTGGCATCACTAGCGTGAGTCAACTTTAATACTGCTGTGTTTGGTATGGTGAGTGTAGAGATCCGGAGACCCTTTTTTACAGGAAACGAGGCATTCCATGTTAGTAGTCAGGGGTGACAACGCATCTGCATTTTCATTTTTAATCGAGGATAAAAATGTAAATGTCTAAGGGGAACAGCATCCACTTATCAGCAGGTGGACTGTGTGCTCGTTTGCCACCGTTATTCTATATTAAAGAAACGAACGTTTTTAAAATAAAGCCATCCTTTAAAAATGAAAAGTGCGTATGTTTTCTTTAGTAAATACAATACTATAAATTAATTAATGCATATGAATAGTTTTTTTTTTCTATAACAGTACGTTTCCACTGAGAAACATCCAACACGTAATGTTTTGAAACAAATCGCATAAAATAAATCACACAACATGTTTTGTTGATGGTAGCGTTCGCACTCACAAAAACTGTGTTTCTTGTGCTTCTGTGTAAAAAAGATTTTCAACGGATATTCAAACTTATTTTTCAACATGACAATGTTTCTATAATTTTGTTTTTAAACATTTTGTTTCTGTAGTTTATTTATTTATTTGTATGGATCTCCAACAGTTGTACATATTAAATTACTTCTAACACATGCTTTACATCTATAAATTACTATGTACTACCAATTATAGGAGAACACATCATTCTAAAACAATAGCAGTGTTTATAATTTGCCTATTTTAATGGTAGTTGGAACAAAAATAGGTTTTACGAATAAAAGAAAGTTAATAGTTTTTGTAACATAAATAAAAGTTAAGTTTAGCATAAAGTTAGTGAATAATTAATTTTAGTTACATAGATATAATATAGTTAAAATACGTAATGTACAATAAACTGTCAAACATATTTCACTACAATAAGTTCTTTGACTATGCAAACACTTTTTGATACATTGACAGAAAACAGTGTTTAAAACATGTTTTTTTGTGAAAATCGCGTCAGTGCAAATTCACGGTAAAAATGAAGCGGCAAACAAATCAACAGTCCGCTCAATAGTTGTTACTGAAGTCCATGGACACCTACAGCCAAGCTCGAACAAAGAAGGCCACAGATGCGTTGTCACCTCTGACTATTATTTATTCTGTGCCTTGGAGAACTAAGATGGAATGCCTCACAGTCGTTATGTTGGTTGTACACTCCTCACACCGGAGCACTCCAGTGCGAGCTACTGTTTGACGGCAGATATAGGTATGAGGATAGTACTTATCCAGAATTAAAATTTTTGCACAAACGACTTCAATCCAAATAAAATGAGAACATCATAAATGTAGTTGAAGTCATTTAAATATGCATTATTAAGGATATCGCAAAAACCACTGGTCAGATCTTGATCAAATTTATATGGGACCACATGAGAAGTATCTGCTTTCAAATAAGAAAACAGAATCATCAAAACCTGTACATATAGAAAAAAGTTCTGGGGTAAAACATAATATAAAAGTACAATCGAATTCAGAATCTCCTCCTTTTTTGAAGTCGGTTAAAAAGTAGTCCGTTATATGAAAAATGTAAATCATTTTTTTTTCCTAATTTAAATAGTGATATGGTTTAAATTATAGTATCGTCATCTATCAAAAATGCGTAAATTGAGATGGTAATCCGTTTATTTAGGTATTATTTATTATATGAATAAAAAAACGTGAAATATAATTGATCTCCTTGCGATTATTGCAAATTGACAATATCCTCATTATTTAAAATATGATTTTGATATTTATGTAAATATTTTACAATTTTGACTTGCATTGCATCTTAACCACAATAAATAATTACACTATACGACTAGGTACATCCAGAGGTACTAAATATAGGTTAATTGGAAGATGGAAAGATTATCTCAAATATTTTGTAAGTGCTAGAGGTTCTAACCTTACCATCGACACAAAAGAAATTCCAACATCCCCTAATCCATAGTAGTTATTTTTTTTAAATATCAAAATGTGGCATATTTATTCATCATTTCATTATAACCTTGAAAAGTCCACTGCTATATATAGGCCTCCCCATTAGATTGATCTTTTTCGTAAATATTGAAAAATACGCCAAATAATACGAGAAGTTTGGTAGATAATATCATTTTTTTACAGGATTGGGTAACAAACGAGCACACAGTCCACCTGATTGTATGGTGTAGCCCATAGACATCCACATTTATCCTCAATTAAGAATCAAAATGCAAATGCCTTGTCACCCCTGAGGACTAAGATGGAGTGCCTGGATTCCAGTTAAAAGGCTCTCCAGTTCTCTACACTTACCATACGAAACACAGCAGTATTACGCTGCTATTTCACGCTGGTATTCTGTGAGAGCGTTGTCCAGGTCGAGCCGACTCATTCGTGCTACAACTATAGTAGGTATAGTTGCAGCGTAGCTCTACAACGTAAACATTAATTCATTAAATCAAAGATATTTACCATGGTAGCCACGTCATGCATGCGAGCAACTGCAGGTTTTATAATTTTAGCTGTTATCAGGAAGGTGCTGCTGTCATCGCCTGTTTTGATTCCCTCTTTCGCCTTATAGGATACCTACGGGATGATGTGGAGTAATGGGTTCATTTACGCTACCTCTAAATAGCCATTTGTCGCATATTATATGTATGTACCTAATTTATACTTTTATGGACGCCACACACGGTCAGTTCAACTGATTATTCCAACTGATAAGTTCGAACTAAAACTGTTGATATTTTATTAAATATTGAATTTTCGATATATTGATGATTATAAATATATCAATTTCGGAGTTTTATAAATAAGTTTATTTATCGATATATCGAAAATCCAATATCGTAAAAAATATCAACAGTTTGAAATCAGTTGGAATGATCAGTTGAACTGACCGTGTGTGGCGAGCATTATTTATAAATAAATAAATAAAATGACAACCAAATCTATTTTTACCGACTTCAAAAAGGAGGAGATATTCAGTTCGATTGTATGTTTTTTCATGTGTTAGAACTTTTCTCTGGATGAACCGATTGTGATGATACTTTTTTATCTGAAAGTTAGTGTTTCTCATGTGGCCATATAATTTAATCAAGATTAATCAAGATTTGTCCAGTATTTTTTGAGTTATCTTTAATACTTCGAATACATCGATGATGTTCTCATTTTAATTATATTGAAGTCGATTGCATAATTTTTTTTAAATTTACCACTTGTAAACTAAAACAAATTACAATACGTATACCTAATGCAACATAAAAAGGTTATTAACGCAATAAAAATAAGATAATTTACATGGCTATTGAAAATATTTGAATTATTTGTACACTATATAATTTAAAGACATTTTTTTAAAATTGCAAATACATATTTTTAAAAGATTTTGTTGTCCCTCTGGAATGCTTCAACTCCCACTATTTGTCTCTGCATCCGCTACCCCCACGGAGCCCCTCAAAGGAGTCTCCCCGTATCGCCACCATTGGCAATCTATTTTCTAGACCAGGCTGTCCTAGCCTGGGATTCGGCTGGGCTTCGGACGAACAAAATAAAAATGAAAGTAATGATAGTCGGGTGTTAGACTTGGGTTTTGGCCTTTGTGGTGTGTTAATATGGGTGAAATCTGGAAAACCCAGACCATACTGGCAAGCAGTGGACAGAGAAATGGAGTATTTAGATCACAAACTTTTACAGAAAATGATAAAAGAAGACTAACGCTACCTACATTAAAGTTTCTGACAAAACTACGCATTATTGGGCAACTTAAGTTCAGTGGTTAGTTTTCTCATTCTAGTGTAATGCACCGTACACTAATTTGTAATTTCGATGCAAATATACACTTCTATAAACAACAAACAATTCTTTAATTTTCAGTTTAATAAAAATTATATACCTAATTTATAAAGTCTTTTAAACATAACGTAATATTCAAATCTACTAAAGATCAACAACGCAGTATCGCAATACATAACATTAATTTTGTACGTCATTACAATTGGATATTAATGCCTATATAATATTACTTTAATATTTTATTTATTTATAATAAGGTATAAACCAGGTAAAAAAATACAATACTTTGACATTAGATCAAAATCTTTTGAGATAATTAATTAAAACAAACCACGAAGCGCGCGTGCCACAGAACATCGCAACCGACCGAAGCGATATTTTTAACATTCCCGACCAACTCAAGGTTGCCTGAGATAGTCGCTTATTCATTGGTATATGACCCAATTTACCATAATATCTTATAAATAGATTTCCTACGTTCGATTTTCCGAAGCTTTCAAAATTTTATTAGCCGTAACTGTTCGACCAAGTCGAATACGCATGTAGATTGGTAGTATTTTGGTTTAGTATGTCGGTATTGTTGTATTTTATGGTAGGTACCCATACGTTAAATTTACAGTTCCAAGTTCACAATGCGATTGTAAACTATTTTTTAATGTACCACTATCAGGAACTTCTGCAGTAATTTAATACAATTCATGGATGCTTAAATTACTCGCAAGTCTTTGATTCAAAAATTGCTGGCGTGGGTGCTGGATAACAGCTTTTTAACCATCCTAATTTAAATATAAAAGAATTGATCCATTATTTATACAAATGAAACAAGTTAGAGCGTGGTTATGTTTGTGGCACACAAAATGCCTTGTACCTTTTGATTATACCATATGTTAATTTCACCTCTTGAAGACAGTCGGTTATTTTGCTTTTTCTGTCTGCAGACAGTTTCAGTTCTCTGGAATAAAGCCAAAGCAATTTTAGTATTAATTTGTAATTGTTCCGTTAAATTTTTTGTCTCCTTTTGATTACAATAAACTTATTGATATTTCACAAATCAGCTATTGAATATGTTGTTTAAGAAAGGCGTCTTTTAATTGTTTATTGATGTTAACGTGAAAATGATACCTAGTATGTCTACGTGCGTACGAAGAGTTCCACATTCCGGTGGGGCAAATCAATATGACATACTTAGTGTAAAAAGCTTTACTTGGAGATACTTGTATTTTTAGTACTTAACTATATGTTTATAGACAATCTACGGCCTATTATGAAATAAAATAAATTTTATAAGAAGACCACAGGCAACAAAGATGGCGTGCTTGTGCATATAATATACTGATTAATTACAACTTTAAATTTGACTTCGCTTACCATGATATAACGATTCAGTAGGTACTGGGCTAAACCATTAAACGGTAAGAAGAATGTTCATAAAAGTTACAAAATATAAAATTTATGCCGTAGTAGGTATTGCAGCCAGATGTCATACATAACATCATGGACTAATTTTAGAATTAATTTTTACAATGTGCAACCTATGTACCTATTTTAACTCCCAACTATGTTCTGTATGAACAGATTTAAGACTAGAATATTACTGAATACCTTACATACCAACGCTTAGAATATATCGCTGGATCCAGATATTTAAAAACTTTAGGAAAAAGTTGCTTATACTTAGGCAAGCACTGAGACGGGATCTATATTACCTACAACCTCTACGTGGAAATAAAAAATGTGTAAAACACCAAAATCTAAAAATCAAATAAATCTTAACGCCTATTTGGGTGTTTTTAAAAATTGACTTTTCGTATCCTTGTAGATATGGAATTATTTACAGAAATTATACGGCACCTTTTTTTCAGCTAGTCGACAGATATCAATTAAGGAGTTTACGGTACCTCATGCGGTGCAAGCCGGGGAAGACGCAGAGCTACAATGTCGATATGATTTGAATCCTGGCGAGTCAGACAAGGGCCTTTACGTGAAATGGTGGTGGACACCACTTAACGCCACCAGCGACCAGATGCATCAGATTTATCAAAGAATAAGCGGGCTTGAACCTGTGACAATTCACAGTACCATTAATTTAGGTATTTATCACAGATTACACCCGTATCACTTTACACTATCATCATGGCAATCCGGGTTCAATCCCCGCGGACACCAATGAAATCGTTAATTACAATTTTAAGAGCTGATTTACCACGTGCTCGCCGGTGAAGGAAAAAATCGTGAGGAAACCTGCATATTTGAGAAATAAGAAAAAAATATTTCGAAGACATGTGAAATTCGCTAACATGCATCAGGGCAGCGCGGCGGACACTTCCTTGTTCTAAAACCCTGTCACAAATGAGGGGAGGCCCGTGCCCAAGAGTAAGACGTATATAGGCTGCATTTGTTTATTTAATTTAATAAGATGATATAGTCACAGCCTCTATATAATCATAGACGATATTCATATTACATATTTATATAATAAAGAAAAAATTGCTACAAATATGTTATGAATTCTTTTGTATGGTGGAACCACGCTGTAGCTATACAACACGCAGCGCGAATGGGTCGGCTCGATCGACCCAGCGCTCAAAGAATAACAGTGTGAATCAGCAGAATAATGCTGCTGTGTTTTGTATGGTGAGTGTAGAGAACCCGAGACCCTCTTTAATGGTAACAAAGCGTTCTATCTTAGTCCTCAGGAGTGACAACGCGTCTGAATTTTAATTCTTAATCGAAGATGCAAGTCTATAGGTCACAGCATCCACTTACCATCAGGTGGATTATGAGCAGCCTATTTTTTCATGTATTGTGAAACGAATGGAATCGGAAAGCTAAAACAAAAACGATATGCCAATACAAGAGGCATTATAAAATACTTTGTATCTTTGACTTATAACTAAATCGGCAACTTTCGCAAATTGCAATTTAAATAATAAATTGTTTTTTTTTTCAGAATTATTAGAAAACGATGGTATTAGGTTAGTGAAAGTCACACCAGCAGACTCCGGGATCTATGAATGTGAAGTTTCTAATATTGATGAGGTACGGGAACATCAGGAGTTAATAGTTTATTGTAAGTGTAAAAAAGCACAATTAATTAAATATAATTATTTTAGTGTAAGTAACGATCCTAGATCACGTCTTATAACTTATAAGACACTTCGATGGTACCCCGATCGTCTATTGAATTGTGACGATGCTCCGCTGAAAGCGGATGGTAAACCCTAGGTAGTTAAAGTCCTTCAAAAGCTTATTAATTCCACCTTCTATGGTAGCCGTACTCCAGGAGCGTGGAGCAGAAGTGCTGTGATCTTGTTTTACCAGAAAGGCGACAACGCCGCAGTAAAAAAAGTACAGACCAATTTTCCTTCTGATTTGCGTCTACGTACTACGAGGACATAACAGATGTCATATCAAACGTTCATGTCACTCCAATACTGGTAGTTTTAAGCGCACTAAGCTCGAAGTTTTTGACGTGTATGTTTACTTAGAACAAATTGACCGGTAGTACCTAAGTCAGACTACGACCTATAGGTCAAGCGACGAATCCAATGGCTGCTCAGCGTTCGGGAGATTACTGACTAATTTAGTTACATAAAATAAATTTTATTTTTAGAAGATCAAAACAGAGAGATAAGGATAGGAGACTATTTTTCATTGAATATTGTAGGGGATGAGAGCAAAGTGGACTGTATATTTATTTATTCTTCTATGTACGCTAAGGATTACTATTATTGCAAATTGAAAATTAATTTAAACTAACTATTACTGAGCCTAATCCTGTGACATCTGTCTGACTAAATAAGGTTGAGTTGAAATTAAAACAGTTAAGAAATAATTCACTATATTTACAACTATTTACAACAATTATTTATGCGGCAGTTATCACTAAACTTATCAGGGATGTTGAGGGCTTCTTGCTTGCTTGTTCGTTCCGATTTGGCAGCTTGCTGTCGCTCGAATGCCGAAGCCGCGTTTTTTTTTGCGCCCGAAGCAATTAAAGGGCTACCCTATATGTAGGGAGGCAGAAAATGCATTACGCATACCACGATAGCCGGTCTATCGTGGTTATGAGGGACTAACATCTTACCGGGGAACCTAAGTGATACCCTCTAAAAACCGCCTTTAAGACCGATTTACACTTCGACAAGTAGGTACAGTAGCGAGTTTAGTTACAGGGCAGTTGGCAGTAAACGGTTAAGTGGGCAGTAGCGTTCAAACAATGTCTTCGTGGCGAGTTTAGTTAGGGACATTAGTTCATAGAGTTCGTCGGAGTATGACGTTTCAAGACTACAGAATTTTTCTGGTTTTCGTTCAAGAATTAAATGATCCAGTTAGAGAAGCATTAATGGTTGTTTTTAAGAAGTTTTTAAGAATTATCATGAGTGCAGCATCTCGAGCAGATTTAATTTTACAATTTGAACTTCTACTATTACATAAACATTCAAAATATGTACAACTCTTGTACAAATTTTTACGTGATATCTTCCGTCCATTTCATTATTAAAACTCAATATAAAACGTATAAATATTCAATAAACAGTATCGTACAAACTTTGTGGCGAGTTTAATTATAAAAGTACAATTGTACGTTTGGGCGCGCAAACGTTGCGCCCTGTCAACTTATACACTGAACTAAACTCGCTCGTTTACATGAACGGCGAGTTTAAGCGGGCTACATACGACACGATATCGGTGGCGATCTAGGGTGGAGTAGTGGGGATGCCTCCTAGATTGCCTCAAAATCGTGTCGTATGTAGGGCCATCCTAAGTCGTGGCCGATATCGCCTCCTTAATCGGCTGGCAGGAGCAAAAATGCTTCCTAGATCAGCCGATGCTTCCTAGATCGGGGCACCGCCCCCCTCCTTACTGCGTGTGTGTAGGCGCATCGGCCCGATTTCTTTTGGCAGTCGCTGCCGGCAACCCTCGCGGAAGGAAGTTAACAAAACAGTGAACTGAATGACCTTTTTTATATAACAAAATTTTTACATTTTAATCATATAAACGGAGTAGAAGCCTATGGCACTGATATTTTACAAAAAACCAAAAAAAGTGAATAAAATAAATAAATTAATTGAAATTTTATCGAAATTCAAATCATATCCACCCTAGCCTATGACCCTGCGAAGTGACATGGTCAAGAATGCCTACTAAACTAATTTTTTTATTGCCGTTCGTAAAGTAGAGTGTATGATGTAAGTAAGGAGAAGATAAAGCCTCTCCTCAACAACTAACTCCTATTCCAACGCTATCAACACAAGACCGCACTCATATCTCTTACAACTCCACAAGACCACACTTCGATCTCTTACGTGCCTTCATCCTCTTATCAACAACTAACTTCTACTCCTTCACCATCTCCACATCAACAAACAAGTTATATAAAAGGGAGTATGTCCGAAATTAAAGGTTTCTTTATGTTTAAAAAAAAGATATAAGCTATTTTATTTTCTGATAATTTTACTCCATAAATAAAGATTACATTAAAAAAAAAGTATACATATTATTATACAAAAGTATTTTATTTCCTTGTTTGTTGTGTGTAATACATAACCAGATTTTGACCAAAGCAGAAATGAACAAAGAGAAGAAATAACTAAATAGCATAGGTAGGAGAAATTGACGTTTTTATATAAGTGGCGAAATCATTTCTAGAAGGTTATAAAAACTGTCTTCATCCATCCGGAGAAAATTAATCACGTCCTTGGATTAGATGCCATTTAGTACGTTTATGTGGCTTAATTTTTATATCTTTTGGAGCCATTTTTTCACCCAGCAACTTCTCTTTTTCTATTTTCGAATAAATTAACCGAGATGGCTAATGCCAAACCAACACGGTGGTGTTTTAAGAGAGTCGGAGGTATTTTGAAGAACTCTACCGCATATGCATTCCGCTCCAAGTCCGAACGCGTACTGCTAGGCAGGCCCGTGTGTAAGGTCTACCCCGATAAAAGCCCCGATTTCTTTCCACCCTAGATCACCACCGATATCGTGTCGTATGTAGCCCGTTTTAGTCGCGGGTGGCGGCAGACGCGCTGGAGGGCAGCACTTCGCACTTAACTCGCCGAAACATAGCTCGGCCGGCTATCCCGTAACTTAATCGTTAACTTGCTACTTAACTCGCTTATTGCCGTTCAAACGAGGTTCAAACTTAACTCGCCAGGTTCGCAAGTTAACTCGCTACTGTACTTGTCGAAGTGTAAATCGGTCTTTAGGGACTGGCAACTGGCTGATTAAGCTTTATTGTGCCGTATCGGAGCGATCCCCCTTGGGTGAAAGGAGGGCGCTAGCGGCGAGTAGCCATTCGAAAGAGTTGCTGCCTAATTAAGGCAGCTTACGAATGGGATGGGATGACTAATTAGATTAAGTTCACAAGGTGTTGATGCTCGGTAAGCGCGAGCAAACGGTCCTGAGGGGACTGAGAAGCGCGCAGTTTGCGTGCTAAAATTGCGATCTCTTTTACGTCGATATTGCGGATAGCAGTGTACGAGTATGTACTCGTATACTGTATCTACGTTATCGGCGTAAGAGGGTTCCGCCTGTTGTCGGGGCCCTAGTGGACGGAGGTGAGGAGGCCGGTAGGGTTCCTGAGGGGGCCGATATGGGTCCTGAGGTGACTGAGATTTGCCCTGTGGGGGCATTTTGGATGGGAGGGCCGGGAATGTACGGTCATTGACCGGTGGCGGAGCTTTTTTGGCAGCTTTGTTGCCGAGATTGGGGCGAGATGCGCGAGGGCAGCCTCTGAAGTTGGCCGTATGGCCGATCTGTCCGCAAAGGACGCAAGCGGGTGGGTACTCGGTATCACGGGGCCGATGACACTCTTTCGAGCTGTGCGGGTCTAGGCACTTAACGCACCTGGGAGGGGCTGAGCAGTTGGCCGCCGCATGCCCGTAGAGTTGGCAGCGGTGGCACTGCGCCGGAAAACCGCGCCTATAGGGTACTTCGACTTTGACTCTCGACAGGCCACACACAGTGTGTACCTGTCGGAAGATGTCTTTCGCCTCCGGCACGTTGGACAAAATGAGGAGGGCAAGCGAGTACTTCTTGCCCCTGTTGCTGTGCATCTTGTGCACAGCCTCAACTGGGAATCCCTGGGACTTAAGGTCCTCCAGGATTTCCTCGTTGGCGAGTTCAAAGGGAACTCCGCGGAGGACAGCCCTGATTTTACGTTCTTCAGGGAGCGAGTAGGTGTGATAGGGCACACCTTCGGATGTGAAAAATTTGGTGATGTTTCTAAAGTCTTCCATAGACTGCGGAACGATTTTAATTGATTCGCCAAGGTTGGTGGCTTGGTTATATTTAAAGCCTGCGTCGTAACAGACTTAAGAAAGTCTAGTAAATTGCGCCTTGTCCCTGAGGAAGACAGGGGGCTGGACCTGTTTCTTGGAGGCAGCGACGGGGGCTGCGGTGGAGCGAGCAGGCGCGGGGGCTGTAATACCGTGGGAAGGCGCGGGGGCTGCGGGGGCGAGAGGCGCGCGAGAGGTTGCAGCGCGTTTCGAACCGCGCTTGGATTTCACTTCCGTGAAGGAGGTTGTATCATATATAAATATAAAATATAAACACTCACGCCTGTCACCCAGTAGGGTAGGCAGAGACTACAGACTTCCATTTGGCATGATCCTGACCTCTCTCCTTCACATCCATACACCTACGCATACATGCTCGTCGGTTAAGGGTACTCCTAATTTGGCCCGTTTTCTATAAATCGCCAATTTGTTCGATAAATTTTCGCCTAGGACGTCCCTTTTCGACTCTGCCATTCACTTCTGCACCATAAATTTTCTTTGTCACTCTTTCCTCATTCATTCTTTCCACATGACCAAACCACCGAAGCATTCCTTTCTTAATCCTGGTCACAACATCATCTTGCAAACCACACTCTTCTCTTATTACACAATTTCTTACCCTGTCATTCAGATTCAGCCCTAACATACTCCTTAACGACCGCATTTCTACTGCGTTTATTCTACTCTCGTGCTTCTTCTGCCACACCCAACTTTCACTACCATACGTTAAAGTAGGGACCAACACAGCATTGTGAATTGCCATACGTGCCTTTTTCGACACATTTTG